ATTTTCAGAAAAATGAATTAAAAAATTACCATAATTAAAGCATCTAATTTAATCTATAATCCTCAATAAGACATACACTGTTTACATTCTTTCTCCATGCATATACATGCACTTATGTGCGTGTGCCTGATAATACATAGCCCCCATTTGGGAAGTTGGTTGGAAGTTGGTTAGGATTAAAAGTTGTACAAAAAGACAAAATAGAAGAAATTAGTCAATACGACAAAATGTCACATACAAATCATTATTATTTTATTTTTTCTTTCACAAAAGAGTAAAAAAGTCAAAGAAATCAATAAGTTGTTCCCAAACGGAACCAAAAAGTCGTGCTAAAATGTTTTTCCCAAACGAAACCAATGATCTTTTCACATGCATTTTTTTAGGTCATTCTAAAATATACACGCTTAAAGGGGTGTCAAACATATAAGAGTTATGACATTGGTAGTATTGATTATCCCAAAAGTCATAATTAGATATTTTTCAATCATAAGAGAAAAGGAGACCAACTGGTTCCCCTATGTCTAAAATATTATTTTATTGAATTTAATGATTAAAATATTATTTTTTTGGTCTATTTTACTTACCACAAATAGATAGATGGTTTAGATTTAAAATAAATCAAAAGTTCAATATTTAAATTGCCAAAACTAAGAACTCAAAATTTACTTTATTATAATGATCAAACCCAATTTTATTTTATTTTTATATATTTATTTTCATTTATAAATTTTCCCTTAAATAAAAATGAGAAGATAAGCAAGCTTCCTATAATGCCATTTGAGTGTAACCAGGACCTTTGGTTTAATAATTTGTAACACCATCTGGGGTGTGAAATTATAAGTTTAACTATTGTAGATAGGAGTTTAATATCCTTTGTTCCTTACTTTTTCTTTTTCTTTTCCGTTTTTTTTTTTTTTTTCTTTTTTTTTTCTTCTTCTTTTTGGGGCAACAACAAAAGTGAAAATAAAAGAGAAGTGAAAATTGAAAATTAGAACAAATAGTTAATATTTTTATTATTTAGAAAAGAATATTAATAAGAATGGTGAGCTTAGAGATAATGTGATTTATAAAATCAAAATAGATTGGGTCAAATGAAAAAGTTTGTCCTGTAGCCTTCTCCCAATTACTACACAGAGGAATACAAAACACAGGTTACCCATTAACTATTCATTTTATGGTAGACTTGATTTTCTACAAGACTTGTGATTTCCAACATATGCAAAAGCCTAAAACCAGGCCATCAACCTAATTTCTTTTAGATGATATACACATAAAATTTTTTCTAAAATGATCATTTTAGATCTTTAGAATGGGATACATAAAAGATTTTCTAAAATGATCATTTTAGATCTTTAGAATGGGATCCGTAGTGGGTTCTACAGGACAAACTTTTTCATTTGACCCAACCTATTTTGATTTTATAAATCACATTATCTCTAAGCTCACCATCCTTATTAACATTCTTTTCTAAATAATAAAAATATTAACTATTTGTTCTAATTTTCAATTTTCACTTGTCTTTTATTTCCACTTTTGTTGTTGCCCCAAAAAGAAGAAGAAAAAAAAAAGAAGAAGAAAAAGAAAAAGTAAGGAACAAAGGATATTAAACTCCTCCCTATATTAGTTAAACTTATAATTTCACACCCCAGATGGTGTTACATATTATTAAACCAAAGGTCCTGGTAACACTCAAATGGTATTATAGGAAGCTTGCTTATCTTCTCATTTTTATTTAAGGGAAAATTTATAAATGAAAATAAATATATAAAAATAAAATAAAATTGGGTTTGATCATTCTAATAAAGTAAATTTTGAGTTCTTAGTTTTGGCAATTTAAATATTGAACTTTTGATTTATTGTAAATCTAAACAATCTATGTATTTGTGGTAAGTAAATTAGAGAGAAAAAATTATATTTTAATCATTAAATTCAATAAAATAATATTTTAGACATAGGGGAACCACTTGGTCTCCTTTTCTCTTATGATTGAAAAATATCGAATTATAACTTTTGCGATAATCAATACTACAAATGTCATAACTCTTATATGATTGACACCCCTTTAAGCGTGTATATTTTAGAATGACCTAAAAAAATGCATGTGAAAAGATCATTGGTTTCGTTTGGGAAGAACATTTTAGAACGACTTTTGGTTCCGTTTGGGAACAACTTATTGACTTCTTTGACTTTTTTACTCTTTTGTGAAATAAAAAATAAAATAATTATGATTTGTATGTGACATTTTGTCGTATTGACTAATTTCTTCTATTTTGTCTTTTTGTAATTTTTAATCCTAGCCAACTTCCAACCAACTTCCCAAATGGGGGCGATGTATTATCAGGCACACACACATAAGCGCCTGTATATGCATGGAGAAAGAATGTGAACAGTGTAAGTCTTACTGAGGATGACGATTAAATTAGATGCTTTAATTATGGTAATTTTTTAATTCTTTTTTCTGAAAATAATGATTTTAATAATGTGTACACATATAATAACAAGATAAATAGTATTGGAGAAAATCAATTAGATTAGATGCTGTAATGGCATTTTCCCAACAATCAAGCTGCATATTGGATTGAGATTACATTATCAAATTTGAGGATATATTAAAAGGATATTTTTTGGTTTTTAGAAAGTTACAGGGAAAAATGAAATTGTTAATTTTGATTTGGCTCAAATAGGATACAAGTTCTAGTTATGAAATTTATAATTAAAAACATTAATTTTATTTTAAATATAAAAAGCCGTGTAGTGAAATCTGGCTTTAGAGGAAGCTTCTATTTACGCTCATTAAATTTTTCATCACATCCTATTTATGCATTGTGACTTGTACATTTAAGTATAAAAAAGAGAGATTAATATGATGCATTTAGAAGCTCCGGCTTTTAAGTCAAGGGTTAGGCCTAATTAAAATGTACTAGTTTTGATAATTTTTCAACCTTAACAGCAAGAGGACCGTTAAACATAACGCAAATGTACTAAGCAAGGGTTAGGCCTAATTAAAATGAACTAGTTTTGACAATATTTTCAAGCTTAACAGCAAGAAGACCATTAAACATAACCCAAATATTCTAATTACTGAACGCCGCATGCATATGTAGCCTGCTCCCAATTACTACACATAGGAATACAAAACACAGGTTGCCCATTAACTATTCATTTTATGGTAGACTTGATTTTCTACAAGACTTGTGATTTCCAACATATGCAAAAGCCTAAAACCAGGCTATCAACCTAATTTCTTTTAGATGATATATACATAAAAGATTTTCTAAAATGATCATTTTAGATCTTTAGAATGGGATCCGTAGTGGGTTCTACAGGACAAACTTTTTGATTTGACCCAATCTATTTTGATTTTATAAATCACATGTTCTCTAAGTTCACCATCCTTATTAATATTCTTATCTAAATAATAAAAATATTAACTATTTGTTCTAATTTTCAATTTTCACTTCTCTTTTATTTCCACTTATGTTGTTGCCCCAAAAAGAAAAAGAACAAAAAAGAAAAAAAAAAAAAGGAAAAGAATAAGAAAAACTAAGGAACAAAGGATATTAAATTCCTCTCTATATTAGTTAAACTTACAATTTCACACCCCAGATGGTGTTACATATTATTAAACCAAAGGTCCTGGTTACACTCAAATGGCATTATAGGAAGCTTGCTTATCTTCTCATTTTTATTTAAGGGAAAATTTATAAATGAAAATAAATATATAAAAATAAAATAAAATTGGGTTTGATCATTCTAATAAAGTAAATTTTGAGTTCTTAGTTTTGGCAATTTAAATATTGAACTTTTGATTTATTTTAAATCTAAACCATCTATGTATTTGTGGTAAGTAAAATTGACCGAAAAAATAATATTTTAATCATTAAATTCAATAAAGTAATATTTTAGACATAGGGGAACCACATGGTCTCCTTTTCTCTTATGATTGAAAAATATCTAATTATGACTTTTGCGATAATCAATACTACAAATGTTATAACTCTTATATGTTTGACACCTCTTTAAGCATGTATATTTTAGAATGACCTTAGAAAATGCATGTGAAAAGATCATTGGTTCATTTGGGAAGAACATTTTAGCATAACTTTTTGGTTTTTGGCTAATTTAGTTTGGCTAAATTAACTCCGTTTGGGAATAACTTATTGACTTCTTTGACTTTTTTACTCTTTTGTGAGAGAAAAAATAAAATAATTATAGTTTGTATGTGACATTTTATCTTATTGACTTATTTATTCTATTTTCTCTTTTTGCACATTTTTAGTCCTAACCAACTTCCAACCAACTTCCCAAATGGGGGCTATGTACTATCAGGCACACGCACATATATATATATATATATTTTTTTTTTGATCGGCAAAAAATCTTTATTGATGAAACATACAAAGTATGATTAGATACATCAATAAAGAGGAGCTTAGAGCTAACACGAAGCTCCAAGCGCCAGTTGGTGAGAAACCAACAAAAAGAAAAACAAAAGATGCTGCCAGAAAAACAAAACCAGATAGGAGCCTGTAGGGCATTGAACCCATTGACAATCAACCCATATGCATTCAACCAAAAAACCAGCAGCAGTAGCAGACCAAAGCAGATGCAGGCCAGCAGAAGAGCTACCTAGCAGCAACCTGCAACAACACTGCAAAGCTTCGCTGCAGCAGCACTATTCATTCATAATTGTCGCGATGTCTTATTTCAATAAGCCGTCTTGTGAGCCGTTCAAACATAACAGCCAAAAAAAGGCAACTAACCAGAGATCTCACACAGCAGCAGAGTTGAGATCAACATAACAGCCAAAAAAAATCACAGACCAGCACCACAGAACTGCACTGAGATGAACAAAGCCAACAAAACCAAGCAGAGAGACAATAACGTTGGCCTACTGATAATGCTGAACAGAGAAACAGGGCAGAGAAACTGACTATCACCAGCTCAACAACCCCAACAGCTCAAACACTAGCCCAGAAACTCTGGCAAAGGCAGCCCATCTAAAGATTTGAATTCCCAGCTCTGATTTGTCTCCAGTTGAAGGTTAAATCATCAACTGAGAAGGGAAGGTCCTTGATGCTTGCTTTCAGCCATAGTGCAGCTCTGACTTTGATAGTTTCACTCAAATCTGAAATATTTGGTTGAGCCTCTTCGAAAATACATTCGTTCCTACACTTCCACAACGACCAAAGAACAATGAGCGGGATAGCTCTCCAAATTAATCTATCAAAGTGATTGAAGTTTACACTCATCCACCATTGAAGAAGGCCATCAACTGAATCTTGAATGCACCAAGAAAGCCCCCAATCTTGAATAATTGAAGACCAAATCTGCCATGAGAAGGGGCAGTGGAGCAAGACATGTGTGGCTGACTCAGATTCAAAGCCACAGAAGGTGCAACTGATGGAAGCAGATGGGTCTAAAATACCAATTCTGAGCATAAATTCTGCAGACTTAATTTTATTCTTCCAAGCCAACCAACAGAAAAATGAAACCTTAGGAGGGACAGCTCTATTCCAGATATGATTACAAATTGGAAGATGAGGACCAAGTGTGGAATTACTGAAAGAGTAAATTGAGGAAACAGAAAACTCACCACTGTTTACAGTAGCACAAGCCCAGAAAAAACAGTCAGCTTTGTGGGGAGACAGAGAAGGGGCTGACGATAGGGCTTCAATCAAACTAGCTTCTTCCTCCAATTCCCAAGAAAACATCGTTCTTCTAATGGGAAAATTCCAAGTATTTGGGCTGGTTCTTCTATCTAAGTATTGATGAAGAGAACCATCTTTATCAGTTGAGAGATTGAAAAGGAGGGGAAAATCATTCTTAAGGCAAGTGTTGCCACACCATTTGTCATGCTAAAACTTGATTCTGTTTCCTTCCCCCACTTTAATTTGACAATTATCCGCATAAAAATTAAAAATATTATTACAATGGTTCCCAATAGATAAGATGTCTTTCCACACTCTGGAATGTTTGTAGGAGAAACTTACCGGTGGATTCCAACGAGCCTCATCTATCTTGTATTTGCTACATAAAGCCCTCCTCCAAAGAGAATTAATCTGAGTTCCAAATTTCCACCACCATTTAAGCAATAGACATGCATTTACATCTCTTAGTCTTCTAATGCCTAAGCCCCATTGATTAATGCTTTTTGTAGCCTCTCCCCATTTCACTAGGTGGACTTTCCTTTTCAGGTCGTTTCCACCCCATAAAAAAGTTGATTGAATCCTCTCAATTTCTTTGGCCACACCTTCTGGCATCTTAAATAAAGAGAGAAAATAAATTGGTAAACTAGATAAGGTGGACTTGATTAGTGTTAACCTGCCTGCAAAAGACAGCAGTTTTCGCTTCCACCTCGAGAGTTTGGATCTGAATTTGTCAAGCACAGGTTTCCAAGTAGATTTTCTCCCGGGGTTGGCTCCAAGAGGTAGAGCTAGAAATTTCAGAGGTAAGCTGTGGACTTGACAGTTGAGGAGCTTTGCAAAGGAGAGCAAGAGTGAATCATCCATACCAACACCACATACCACACTTTTGTGATAATTTATTCGCAGACCAGATAAAAATTCGAAGCATCTTAGAACTCTTTTAATAAGCACCATCTGATCCCAATCTGCTTCAGAGAAAATAATTGAGTCATCCGCAAATTGCAGATGAGACAAAAGAACATCCTTTGACCCAACAAGGACTCCTCTAAGTATGCCAAGATTAATTGCTCTGTTCAAAAGCATGTTAAGACCTTCAGATACAATATTGAACAGAAAAGGTGAGAGCGGGTCGCCCTGCCTAAGACCTCTTTGTGGTGAGAATTCAGTAGTGGGTGAGCCGTTCACAAGAATGGAGATCCTGACTGAGGTAATACAGGTTTTTATCCAGGAAATCCATTTGTTCCCAAATCCAAAATTGGACAGAAGGGAAAATAAAAATTTCCAGTTCACAGAATCAAAAGCTTTTTCGAAATCTAGCTTTAAAATTATACCGAGCTTCTTGGACTTTTTCCATCCATCCACCACTTCATTGGCAATGAAAACCCCATCTAGGATATTCCTCCCGCCTATGAATGCAGTTTGTGTTTCACCAATGATGGAGGAAAGAATTGGCTTCAATCTGTGTGTTAGGACTTTAGCTAGAATTTTGTAAAGGAACTTACCAGGCTGATGGGTCTGAATTCAGACAGGCTAGTGGGATTGTCCACTTTGGGTATCAGACTAATAAAAGTGCTGTTGATGCCATAGGTCAGTTTGCTATTTGAATGGAAGTCCGCAAAAAATTGCATAATCTTGGGCTTCATGACCTTCCAAAATTTCTGATAGCACAACAAGTTAAAACCATCAGGGCCTGGAGCTTTGTTGCTATTGCAGTCCTTAATTGCAGCCAAAACCTCAGCTTCGCTGAACTTTGAGATCAGGTGTTGAGATACATAGTCTAACCCAATGGTCTTGTAAACCCCTTCCAAGACAGGTCTTGTAACCCAATCCTCCGCAAACTGTTTCTTGAAGTGTTGATGGACCTCAAACTTAACCCTGTGAGGATCCTCATGAGATACCCCATTAACTTCGATAGAGTTAATCACACACACATATATATGCATGGAGAAAGAATGTAAACAGAGTAAGTCTTATTGAGGATGACAGATTAAATTAGATGCTTTAATTATGATAATTTTTTCATTTTTTATGAAAATAATGATTTTAATAATGTGTATACATATAATAACAAGATAAATAATATTGGCGAAAATCAATTAGATTAGATGCTCTAATGGCATTTTCCCAACAATCAAGCTGCATATTGGATTGAGATTACATTATCAAATTTGAAGATATATTAAAGGGATTTTTTTTTTGGTTATTATAAAGTTACAGGGCTAAATGAAATTGTTAATTTTGATTTGGCTCAAATAGAATACAAGTTCTACTTAAGAAATTTATGAGTAAAAACCTTAATTTTATTTTAAATATAAAAAGATGTCTAGTGAAATTTGGCTTTAGACAAAGCTTCTATTTACGCTCATTAAATTTTTCATCACATCCTATTTATGCATTGTGACTTGTACATTTAAGTATAAAAAAAAGATATTAATATGATGCATTTAGAAGCTCCGACTTTTAAGTCACGGGTTAGGGGGTTTTGATATTTTTTCAACTTTAACGGCAAGAGGACCGTTAAACATAATGCAAATATACCAAGCAAGGGTTAGGCCTAATTAAAATGTACTAGTTTTGACAATATTTTCAACCTTAATTGCGAGAGGACCGTTGAATATAATGCAAATATTCTAATTACTGAACACTGCATGCATATGCAGCCTACTCCCAATTTCCGCACAGAGGAATACACGATATAGGTTATTGTAACTTACTTTTTGTGCTCTTTTCGGATACGAGTAGGCCTACAGTTCAGACTCCCGTGGTTCTGAAATTGACTCCACGAGTGCAATGTGAAATAGATAAACACAAATGAGTCCAAATCCAACAATTCTTTTAGAAAATTTATTTTGACTCGAAATGCGAAAAAATTATTGCTTTGCCAGATTTTAGAGTCGCCACCTAAATATTTTTGAGAATTTAGGAAACTCGAGACTCGTGCCAAAGGTCACTTATTTGTCATCACCAAAGTGTCTCGTCTCGAGAACTTAGGTATGAGATGGGAAGATCATGAATTGAGCACCCCACTCGCCCGATCAAAGATCAATTTCTACTAATAATGATGTGATTTTTATTTACATTATAGGCTCTTGTTTTGATTATTAGGCTAATTTACTATATGATGCACACAAGTATAGACTAATTTACAAAAGTTGGAACGCACTACAAGAAATAACACTTTTAGCGACCAACTTTTTAGTCGCAGAAAGATCATATCTACTCGTTGATGGTTTCGAGCGACCAAAAAACGTTGGTCGCAATTTAGTCGCTAAAAGCCCGTCATAGAGGGTTCTTGGTGACCAAAACTGAAGTTGGTCACAGAAAGTAAGCATTTGTGACTATATAGTTTGGTCGCGAAAAGGATTTCAATTTCTCAAAAGTTGTTCATTTTGTGACCCAAAATTTAGTCGCCAAATGGAAACAATTGCGACCATCGATTTTAGTTGCTAAAAAGTGGTTTTTGACCACCAAACTTAGCTTAGTCGCAGAGAGTCTATCACAATAGCAAGCTTCTCACTGACCTATTGCGACTAAAATTATATTGGTCACAAAAAAGCTTTTACTTTTAAACATCATTTTACCAATGTAATGCTAATGTTTTTTTTGTAATACTTGTATTACATTTGTAATTAATGCATAATTCATGTCCATACAACCAATTTCAACATACCAATCCATCAACAATCCAATCTACAAACAAAAAACCATCAAAAGGAAGTCAAAATAGTAATTAATCTATCAAATTACCACCACCTGTCAACATGAACACATTAATATTTGACAAAATAACCATCTATCCATCCATTTAGTTTAAAAAATAACCATCCATCCATCCATCCATTTAGTTTACAAAATAACCATCCATTCATCCATTTAGTTTATAATGAATTCACCACATCAAAAACATATTTAACAAAACCATCAAAGATTTCAAA